GTTGGAGGACATCCCTCTTAGGTTGGAGGTCATCGCTCTTGGGTTGGGGGCCATCGCTCTTAGGTTTGAGGCCAAGGCTTTTAGGTTGGAGGACATCCCTCTTAGGTTGGAGGCCATCGCTCTCAGGTTGGAGGCCATCGCCAGGGCGAGAAGCGAAGAGCATCCGGAAGATCAAGGTCGAATATGCAGCAGTGGAAAGTTTGGTGTTGCCAAAAGAGTTTTGGGAGGAATGCAAGAAATCTCAAATGAAATCAAGAAGTCAAGAAAGAATCATCTGTTCTGACGAGAAGACCATTCCGCAAATGCAAGCAAATCACCTACAGTAATCACCAATGTAGTCCTCCCCTGGAGCACGCTTCCCTGCATGGAGCTACTAGGTCGGAATCCCAAATCCCCCAACTCTGCACTTCACGAGGTCGCGATGCCCTTTGCTCCTAGTAGCGTCCTGCTCCTAGTAGCGATGCCCTTTGCTCCTAGTAGCGAACATTGCTCCCAGTAGTATGGCCAGGAGCTCCGTTCGTAGCGTCCTCTGTACCGACCGGTCATTCTTTTTAGTCGCGTCCAACGGTCCACAGCACCGTTCCAGCGCAGCCGCTGCCATCGGGGGAGCCATCACTGGCGCCGGTGTAGAGGAGGATCTGGTCCCCGGCATCCACCTCAACCGAGTCCTGGCATTAACCGCCAGAGGGCGAAGAAACATGAAGAGGCTATTTGATCTACCTACAGCATGGGAAGATTGTGGATTCAGCCTACTCTGCATTCCGCCACACCTTTTTAAGCACTCCCAAAAAGAATTCCTCTGGATTTGGATGCATGATCTTCAACTCAGATGTCTTTGTCCGACAGTTGCCTCCTTGGAAAGTTGCCGCAGTTGACCATGGCGCTGCATCCAAATGGGATTCCTAAGTGGCCAGGGCTGTGGTTCGTAGCAGAACGATTGCCGTGGAGTTGTGGACTGAACCTCCTCATCCTCATCAACTTTTTGGAAGACCATTTTTGGGGAGGTGAATCTGTTGACAGTGATCGAGCCAAACCATTAGAACCCACTGAAGCCAGCCACTTATGCTGGCCTGTTCACCGACTTACTGCCAAGCAAAAAGCAAATGGATTTTGTACAGGAGACGCACCACCTAGTACTTGGCCATTGGCAAGTTGGGTTATATAGTCCACCTGCAAATTGCAAATCATGTTGATTTGTGAGAGAGACTGTTAGGAAAAGAGTCGACTGTTTCAGCAATTTTCTGTCCTTCACTTCTAAAACCGTAGTGAACATGAAAATCCCGCGATACCTTCCTTCTGATCCGTCTATCGAGTCTATCATATGATTATTTGGTATTTTTTGAATTGAATGAGTTTCTCATCAAGATCTTGTCATCATAGCCATAATCTCATACATTCGCATACAATCCCCTCATTGGACCCTCTGGACACCAGGGCACGAGCTCAAGGCGGTCAACCACAACGCTGGCTTTTGAGGAAAGGCCGACGCAGCTGGGCCATGTCGGAGCTCCTGGTGCGGTCCAGATGGGCTTCAACCGGAGCTAGTAGTAACAGGTGCCTTACTAGTAGTAACAATAAGAATTTAATTAGAATTGTAATTACTAGCAAAAGAATGTGTTTGGTCCCACACGACGATCCCCGGACCATCTGACGACTCATGACAATTGCCAGGATTCTGCCAACAATCAATCTCTGGTCACAAGTTGTCCCAAGGAAAGGAAACACTTGGGAAACTCTCTAGCGTAATGACATCATCGTATATATCTTTTCTTGCCACATTCCAGCAAAAAGACACGCTTCTGTCAAAGCCAAAAGCTGCTCCGCCTCCACCTTGAAGTGTTCTCGGCTCACAAAGGTCTGCACCTCCGGCCGAAGTGCCTCTCACAGTTTGAGAGGCCGGTGGTGGAATGTCACATCTCTGTTCGTCTTGAAGGTGGTCATGCCAATCTGCTGATCTATGTTTTGTTTGCATTATTTCATTAGCTCCTTCAAAAATGTTTGCCTCTTGGAGGCCATACCTAAAGAGCCAAACCTTCAGCCACTTGGATCTGTCGAGATCACCTCTTGAAACTGCACACGGCATGCGGCCTGCTTGTGCAAGTCGAACTGCCAAGCTCTTCCCACCACAATCTTCCCATCGTTTGCATCGACCCTCCTGTCAAAAGGAATAGCTCATTGAAGAGACGAGCAACCCACTGTACAAAGAATGGAGATCTGCGTGAGGAATTATATCCTACATGGTTACTATCCTGATTGTTTGCAGAGTGGGGCAAACTCCAAAAATGGTTGTCTAATGTGAATGTTGTCTCAGTTGTCTCATGGATGTGTGGTTTAGTCGATTCAGTTCTCCCCTCCTTCGCTCCAGCACAGCCGTGCCCGACAGTTCCAGCCAGAAGCTCTTCGCCCGCGGCGAGGACGGGGCACCACCGATGGTCGCGGCACCCAGCGGCGCGGCAGCAGCGGCGCCCGGGACAACAGGGACGCCCGGGGCAGCAGCGTTGCCATCGGGAATCTGGAAGGTGCGGGGATATATGGTTCAAGTGATAAGAGTGGAATAGCAAAGGGAGTAATTCGAGAAATGCAGATCCAAATTCAAGAGGAAAACAGCTATGACATGCACTGCACCTCGTGGAAGCTCAACCGCCATATTTATCACCTCCTAGAATTCTCCTTCTTCCCAAAAGTCCGAGAGCAATTCCAAAGCCAGGTGTAGCAACCTGTTCTTTTTTCGCAAGAGTTCCTTTCGGGACCGGTCAGTCACGTCAAGTGGTCACCTTGTGGGTTCTCACATCATCTAATCTAAGTCATATTCCGACCAATTGATCATTGCTAGTGGGTTGGAGGACCTTTGCTCCACGTCACTAGCTCCAGTCGCAGGAAGCACTGCGGCACGGCCGCCGGCGGAGCTCCAGGAGGCACTGCCAGAAAGTCGATGGCGCTGTTCACCTGCTTCGATCCACAAAAGTGGATCTGTCTGTGCGGATCTCAGAATCTTACCCCGAATGTTCCCAGTAGCTTCTTGTTACTACTAGTAAGGCACTTGTTCCTACTAGCGTGGCACTTGTTCCTAATAGCTTCTTGTTTCTCACAAAATGAATGTTCGGGTTGATGTTCAGTTTCACAGTCTTCGTGCCTGCATGGTAGTCTGTTGGCCCTTCTGCAACTGTCGTCCGCTCGCCATGACGTGATTCACGCTCAAATTCCTGAGGTCAAGGGTTAACGGTTAAGGGTGGAGTCTTCGCAAAACTCTCACGCAAAGTTGGCATCCAAATATCGCAAGTGTCCAGCACATGTTTACAAAAATGGTGATTCGCATAAAACAGCAATGCTCAAAAGCCTCTCATTATCTCTCACCTCATGTCGTGTTCCAAAGACACGGCCGGCCGATCTGCTTTGCCAAGCTTCTGCACCAGGAAGGTCCCGGGCTCCACCTCTACGCACTGGGCTCGAATCGAAAAGATTGGTGGAACATCCGTCGAACAGGTCTAAAATCTATGAAGAAAACGTCGAACAGATGTCTAGGAGTCTAACAGAGTCTAACGTAAGAACTCTTCTTGATCTGGACGTCTTCTCGAGCCCTCTCTCCGCGCCAAAGCGCGCTCGAGAGCGCTTGAGCACCTCGGTGAGGTCCAGGTGGCTCCGAGAGACCGCCGTCCAATAAACGCTCTCCGCGCTCAGCACCGCTTCGAAGAAGGCCTGTTCGAAGCGGGACAAAGAGAAAAGGAGAAACACCGTTCTTGTTCTTGTGTTGTTCTTGTGTTGTTCTTGAAGACAAAATAGCAAGCACAAGAGCCAAGTAGGGTGCTCTGGTTGAAGTTTGCGAGGGGTGGTACCAAGACTACAGTAGATTAGATGTTGTTTGGTGGAAGCCAAAAAACGCTTCCTGATCATTGTTTCGCCACATCTCCTGATGAATTTCTACAGTCACATGCGTATGCGGAAATACTTGGCTCTGGAAAAGTGCCGCTCCTGCTGGTGCTCACGCCCGACTTTTGTGTGCGTCTGCACGGGAAAGGAGCGCGCACTCGCCGGCAGCATCTCCAGGTGTCCCGTGTGGGACATTGTGCAAAGCAAGCGCGCCCTGTGCCAGGCAAAAGCAAAAGAACGTTGAGGAACTAAAACTGAAAACTCAAAACCCAAAACTGTTTTAACATGTTTTGATGGTTTTTAAGCACAAAATCAAAGACCTCAACTTCTTCCGAATTCCCACCTCGCGGGCGCTGCTGGCGGCCCGGTTGGACCGCCCGGCCCAGCCGCCCCGCCCGGCCCAGTCTCCTCGACCGGGCGGCCGTCCACTTTCAGGGTCACCACACGGAAGACCTGAGACCAACGTCGGTTGGGTGTGGACCTGAGACCGACAAGGGTTCTCTAACGAATCGTCTCTCGTGTGGTGAAATCTGGATTCCTCCTGCCTGGACCTCAGTTAGAGTCCGAGCTTGAACAAAGATGAACACCCAAGACACATCTCTTCCACAAATGACAAAGAAAAGTCCAAGGTCCAGGTCCTTTTACCTTAATATCGATGGCCTCCAACCTACTAGCGATGGCTCTGTTTCTACGCCCATCAACGTGGCTCTGTTTCTACGCCCATCAACGTGACCCGCCCACCAGCCCTCAGCCCATCATCGACTGGCCACCGCCACAGGGACCTGTTCATCCGTGTCCTCCCAGGAGAGCAACTCCAAAGGGCTGGCACCTCGGGAAGGTGAGCCTCCAACCTAGTAGCTTCTTGTTACTACTAGTAAGGCACCTGTTACTACTAGCGTGGCACTTGTTCCTACAGAAACCTGGTTTGTATTTACATGTTTGATCATGTTTGATTCAATGCCTTCTATGTGTCTTGCTTCCAAGCTGCAGGCAGCCCGTTGCTTCCTGCCTGGCACTGCAACATTCTCGTCTCCGCTGCTGCAAAGATAAAGCAGTGCTTCATCCGGAAGAAACCTTGCAAGAAAGGCCAGACTGCCGGGCATGATATACGTTCAAGCACCTCCGTATCAAAATCAAGCAACGTATGCGCAAACTAGGAGCGATGGTCATGTTTGCATCATTCACCCATCTTCTATCCGGCAAAATCCACCTAGCCGAACCCCAAGCAGCCCAACTTCATGTGGACCGGTAGGCCCCGGGGGGCTGTCAGTCTGGTGAAGGCTGTGGAACACATTCCTAGAATTGAGGCAACGTCACTGTAAATTCCGACATGTCCTGGCCCCTCACCGTGAGCCCAGTAGCATCGTGCCGTTCACCGGTGCGAAGACCTGGGCTGCATGGACAGAGTCGGAACGGGAAGTGATATCAATTCCACGGCCAAATCTGGAACATTCCCTAAACTTCGTTTGCACTGCCCTCCATCTCCATCTTCTTCCATCTTCTTCTCACGCCTTGTTGACGAAGATGGTGTTCACTGAGAGCCTGGTGAATTGGAGCGCTCCAGAAGCCCAGGAGAGGCTGAAGTGACGTCGGGAGATGCAGTTCCGTAACTCCTCTCGAGAATGGACCAGTTGGATGGTTGGCATTGAGAAAACCAAAGACTGGGTCGTTGGAAAGTAAGTAGATCCGATGGCAAAAGTATCCGTCGGTTAAGCATGGAACACCACTAGCTTTTCCGTCCCAATGCTGGAAGCTATGTGTGGTCCTCGTCTGGCAGGAGCTTCTTGAAGAAGCTTGCCTGTGCAAGTAGGCCGTGCTACTAGGGGCTCCTGGCATCGCTACTAGGAGCAAGGACGCTACTAGGGGCTGTCAAGAAGCCGATAAAGCTGCTCATGAGCTTTCCATGGGGCCTGCTCGGCGCGACCGATGAAGCAGGGCTCGTCATAGACCTCCACGTCCAAGTGCCGCAGCTCCGGTGGCAACGAGGAAACGTCTTGCCCCACCACCTCGCCCACGCTCAAAGGTGTGTAGGTACTGTGACCAAAGGCATGAGGGAACAGGGAACGGCAAGTCCTTCTGAAGGGAGCTTAAATTGGAAAATTGATTCAAGAGCTGAGGAAGCAACGATGTTCAACATGAGAAGAACATCAAAGAGGACAACAATATACAACAATGATTTGCTCATGAAGGAACTCTTAACCAACCCACAACGTCAAGCCTTGATGCATTCGATCATAACTTCCGCATTGGGTGGAGGAATCGGTCGAATCATCACCTTGGCAGACATGGCCACATGGTGTAGATATATCTTTAGCCACATAGTCAGACATGGTCAGTTTATGCAGAAGAAACATGGAGTTGATGCAGAAGAACTTCGCTTCAATGCTTCACTCGTACTCCCTCACGGATCACCGCACAAGGGAACATGGGTTTGGGGCTCGCATCCTCTGCAAAGCTGGCGTGTTGTTCTTACTGCAAGTTTATGTGCTTTCATGTCTTTTTGTCTATTATAGTGGATCTCCTTCACATCGACAAGCTCCAAAAAATGCTCTGCATGAAGATATTCAAGCTTCACCCACTCAGCTGCCCGCGCGGTAAGGGACGTTGCCATCCTTCTTCTGCTCCAATAGAGCTTCGCCTCAAGAACTCTGGTGTTCGGGGTCCATAGGTTGGATATCGGGAATTTGGAGGTTGCCTTCAACCATCAGCGGATTGCGTGGTAAATGGAACCCACCCAGCCAGTAAGACCATAAGTGAGAGCGCTCGGTCACTGCTACCCTTGCTGGACGAAGGAGTTTGCCACAAGGGTTCTCCATTGAACATCTAGGGCCCTTACTCTATCTCACATGGATGCTCTGATGTGGGGCACTGCACGCAGCCAGGAAATTCAGAGTTGACAGGCCGACGGATCTCCTTTCGAAAATTTCAGTGGATGGTACATCCCAATCCTCAGAACCTACTGTAGCAGCTGCAGGACGCCAGAATGACCGCCAAGTTACTGTATGGCTTACCATCGATGGCCGCCATGACAAAGTACCTTGAGAATGTGATGAGTTGGGAAATCGCCATCCACAGCCCGACGGAGCAAGCCATTGATGTTGAAACTTTCTACCGTTTGGATACCCCAGTGTTTTCAATCCCCAACAACCACTCACATCCAACGAGCTCATCTCCATCTTTACACTCGCCAAAAGGAACCAACGCGACGTCCAAGCGGTCTCGAGGCCTTCCAAATCTCTGGGTCTCCGGGCGCCTCGAGGCCTTGCTCTTTGGCTTGGCCATCAAAAACTCCGCTCACACGCCCCAGGTGCAAATCCGACACAAAAATCCCCAAGGGCAAGCGCGGCTTGAAGATCACCTGACAAATGGGAGAGCTGCTTTCCAAAACGGCTTTCAACGTTACTAGATGAAAAAATCGTTTTATATACCTCCCACCACCTAACATTTACCCTCTTGGGCCAAGTGCACCACCCATCCTGCTCCCAGCCTCCCGTGGCTCACCCACCGTTCGCTTGGAAAAACCGCCCTGCGGCTGCGTAGGCGGCAGCTGTGTCTTTGGCAGTGAGACCGCCGTCTGCGGCAAGTGCAGCTGCTGGGTGGCCATGTGCGCGGACGGATGCGTTGCGGGGACATCGTGCCTGACGAAAATGGGCAAACATGAGCAAAGCACAAGCAACTTGATTCAAGCCACTGGACTTCAGAAAAGTCTCAAACATCAAGTGGCGACTCAAGTGTCAATTTCTCTGCATTGGCCATGGCACAAAACCTGCGATGAAGTGCGGACAAGTGGCAACAGCTCTGGCCGGTCGATTGCAGTGACGGCAGTGGCAGTGCTCCTCAAAGCGCTGGCCATTGGAAGCTGAGGCGAATGAGGACGTCCACGTTCAGCCCTCTACACACCAAAGCTTTGCAGCAGGCTTTAGTCTGAGGTGGGTCAAGGACCTGCAAACGGGTCACTTGAAAACGATTTGTTTGATCCTGGAATACTCAGCCGTTTCTTACTGTAACCCCTAGTTTGACCCTACTTGGCTGGATGACAAATTCTCTTCGGCAAAGTACTTGCTGCGGAGACACGGGAGCTGAGTCTGCGGAACCGAAGGTGAAGAAGGCCTCAGATGCTTCTGTAACATAGTCTTCCCCAATGAAAGGAACAAAGAAAACAAGTCGAGGCTTGTAGGACTGTAGGGCGGACTTCAGAAAAATCTCTTGTTTGTCATCTCAGCATCTCAACAAAATGAGATGCATTGATGAGGGCTGTTGAGGCAAGAGGAGCTTTAAAGGCAATCTGTCTTTGCAGTTTGATGAAGTCACAAGAACAGCAATGTGTTGTGCTCACATGCTCTTCAAAACTGCATGAGCAAGCAGCGCAAACTCAACCTGGGGCCAAGGCGGCAGTTGAGTTCTCGGCACGGAATATCCGTTCCTTGGGGCGTAGTTCATATCTAAATCAATTCTGCAAAGAATTCATGACCCTGAACCACTAGCACTGAAGTGTTTGCAGCAAAAAAAATCCCAAAACTGCCTTTACAACACTCCACCGAACACGTTGGCCACCGAGAATCTGAGCGTATTCTCCCGGCGGCAAGGCCGTCGCTTGGGAGTTCGGCACACTGCCTGCTCCGAACCTCAGCCGTCGACCTTCCAACCGGAGGTCGCTTTGCATCGCCTTCTTTGGTTTTGAAAGGAGCCCCTAGTAGCGTCCGATCGCTGCTAGTAGCGCTGCCCTTTGCTCCTAGTAGCTATTTGCTACTAGTAGTAAGGCCACGAGCCCCTAGTAGCGTTCTTGTTCCAATTCTAAGTAGATTCTAATTTAAATTCTATCTACTAGCAAACATTGTTACTAGTAGTACAGCCAGCCCCGTTCGTAGCTTCTTGTTCTCCGGCCCACGGATGCGGACCACGAGGCTCCGATTGACTCCGCGGCAAGAACTGCGAGACATGGGAGGCCGCCGAGGCCGCAGAGGGCCTGCAGGAAGTCGTGAAAGTGTCTATGGTGAGAGAATAGTGAACTTTGGAGAGTAAGACAAAACAAGAGTGAAACGATTATATATATATACAGAAAAAGATAAGGGGCCTCATTAAAAAGGCCCATTCATAATGCGTTTACAGTAACTCTAATTATTTATTGTTTTTGCCTTTTCTTAGCTTTACTGGTCTGACTGACTCCATGTCCATCTTTTAGACGTCTGCTTGAGTCTCACTCTGAGTCCCAGACATCGGCATGCCTTGGAGGCTCATCCTCGGTTTTTTCGTTCCTCGTCTTCGATTCTGTCTCACTTGGTTCTTAGAAATGTGAGAATCCATCTGAGTGTCCGCCTGCGGTGTTAAGCCCACAATGCCCATGGTTCGTGGCCATCCTAAGCTTCTTGTTACTACTAGTAAGGCACTTGTTACTAGTAGCGATGCACTTGTTCCTAGTAGCGAACATTGTTTCTTGTTTGCTTTTGTATATGAACAAAGCCTAGTTACACGAAAGACGCAGTCTCAGCCCATGAGTAGAGACGCTGTGCGCCGTTGGGCAACGACGTGCTGTGGTTCCAAACCTCGGTCTCTTTGAAAACGTTTTGCACATACAGCAGTCAATATTGCAACGGCAGTCAATATCAACCTCTAACATGAGAATGCGTTGTTAGTGATAGTCCATCATTTCCCTGAAGCATCGTCAACATAACCAATGCCAGACATCAAATGCGAAAAAGGCGAATCTCAGTGACGGCTCAGCAGGTAGCAAGACTTTAGGAGTTTGCTAGACTTTTTCAAAGTGCGATCTGAAAGCGGATCGATCTTGAGGGATCTGACTCAAAGCGACTCAAAGAAAACGCAAAAGATTCTTAACCTAATAGCGATGGCCTCCACCCTAAGAGCATGCAAGTTCCCGATTCTCGCGAGACCCTGTGCAACAAACTGATCGAAGACGGTTCTGCCGCCGAGCGACATATTGACCCTGCAGGTCCAACACCACACATCGGACACCTCACCGACAAAAGAACTCTCGGGCAAAATGGACACCGACGTTCAACAAGGGATCTCCTTCAAGATGCGGCTGAGCCCACTACTTTATGTGCAAAAAAACATGGAATGTGTCAGCTACTGTATGTTGAAACATCAAGAGACTTTGTGTTGCAGAACAAACCATAGTCTTGTGAGCTTGTAGCGGCCACTACCAATGATGCCATCAAAGCAAAAGGACACGGGCAGCCAGAAAGAACATGGAGCACGCACGAACTTATCATCTCCTTGGTGTTTGGTGTTTGGTGTTTCTTGGGTCTCTTTCTTAAAATGGCGCAACTAGGCCAGCTTGGAGTGCCCCCATCTTGCCTTTCGACACGGAAACCGACAAACTGCCCATATTGCGCAGGAACCGTGTGAAGCCGCATCCATCACGTTTTGCAGTTGGTCGTCCACCAACGCCACCGCACCCAGCTGTCGGCAGAGTTCGCCCTTGCTGGGTCCTGCACGGACGCTGAGCGGCTCACAGCAGCGTGGGTGCTTCGGAACCTCTTTTGACACGTCCACAAGCGATCCCAGGATGCAAGGCAAGGATTACCTATAACTTATAATAGATAAGCGAGAAAGGTGTTGGGATTGCAAGTTGCATCTACTTATTGCACCACAACTTATTTCTATTCTTTCGGAAGTCCTGAGGCTGAAGCAAAGTGTAGGCCACTGATCAAAGCAGGGAAACCTTGTATACAAGAGGTTCGGTCTTGAAAAGCTGGAATACATGCTACTTGCATCCAGAGATGCAAACAAAGCGTACGCCAAACTACCACAAAGCTACTTGCATCAAAGCTTCGCTTCCAAGATCTTAAAAACAACGAGCACCTTCTTTTCAAGAGAAGAGAACAGAAGAAGAGCGATGCAAAGACATCCAGTTGAAGCGAGCAGCATCGTGCCAGAAAGCGCTCTGTGCTGGACTTGCAGTGCCCAGGGCGTGATGTCACCGCATGCAGCTGGCCGGTTGAAACCGATTGAAACACAGCGGTTGCGATTGGGTCCCAAATCCAGATTGAAGAAATCAAATCTGACAGTTTGCACACAATCAGCAAGATTGAGGTCCCAAGTCACCCACCCTGGAACGAGCGATCGCCTCAAATCCTGCGGACTTCAGTCCCTGTAGCACCTCTTGGCTCCCCAACCTGGGCGTTGGGGACGAGACGGCGAGAAGTATAAGGATGTGTAAGGATGTATACGTTACTTTGGCCGAGGCCGTAAAGGGTAGGATACAAAGTGTGTTGAGGAAGAAACCTTATGCAAAGTAAAGTGTCAAAGTCCATAGAAGGCATCAGCGGAAAAAAAGGCAAATCGCCAAAGAAGCTGGCCCCAAGAAACCAGCTAGTTGATTGTTCGTTGGAAAGAAAAACAATATCAATGGGCTTGAGAAGAGACTTTCGTGACTTGAACCTTGATGCTCTAGACTCTAGAGGCCCTTCAACATCCTGTACCAGCTTGTGGGCATCTCCTACTTTATGTTTCTGGACGCTTCCTTTTGTTGAGAACGACGCAAAGAAGTCTTGACCTGCAACGGCAAGCACCAAAGATACTCGAGTCAGCCCATTTCGCTTTTGAGTGCCGAGTCACACGGGTTCCGCCATGATGGCGAAGTCAGAGCAAAGGAACTGATCCCGCAAGGCGGACGCATCTGTGGAGTAGCATCTCTGGAAGCATTCCTCGCGAGCGGCAAGAGCTGTGAAGCTGTGGCACAAGTGCGGCCCTTCCCAAATATTAGGTTGGAGGCCATTGCTATTAATATGCGTCCGGTCATTTCAATAGTAATATGCAATTAATATGCGTTCCAAATATATCCAAGGATTAGGTCCCCCATCACAGTTCTTTCAAGCCACACACTCTTACCTGCATAAATGGCCATGATCAGGTAGCTCAGGGGTGGATCAAGAAGTTTGGTGGATTTGGACTGAGCCCCATGCCCGAAAAAAACCGCTGACGCTCTTTTAAGTCTGTCCAATACGTTCAAAAATCTCAAGGAAGGAAAGCACCAGGGAACAACCACAACTAGGGAACACCGGCACACTTGACACAGGGCACAAGGACAACGGCACATCTCTCACTTTCGGTCCGTGAGGTCAGTGCCCGGCTGCCCTGAGTGCCACATGCAGAAGGCTTCCGCCGTACGACAGAGGACCTCATCCACGTCCAGCGCCACACGTGGCCTCGTTTTGAAACACATGGAGAGACATAGAAAGCCATCGCTTCCGTGTATGTGCACGATGGACACCCATGGAGCGTGGATCATATGATCTTGGGTGGTCACTGATGCGGAGTAGAGGAGAGACTCGGAGACTCTATTGAATACTATTGTGTTGAGGCTACAAGTTCTCCCCTACTCTGAATGAAACCTCAAAGCTACTCGCTGACACCATGGTCCCAGCGGCCGTGAAGAGGTTGAGAAGACCGCCGACTGAGGCATATAGGTCGCCTGGGTCCAGCATCGGCATAGGTCTCTGGCATAGGGGTGAGCTATTTTTCCGACTCTAGTAGTAACAATGTTCGCTACTAGGGGCTCCTGGCATCGCTACTAGGAGCAAGGACGCTACTAGGGGCTCCTGGCCGTACTACTAGGAGCAAGTAGCTACTAGTAGCAAAAAAGCTTGTTCAAACAAAAACAAAAGTAGGCAGCTTGAGAAAGCTGATGTCTTGGAAGCTGATGTCTTTGAAGATTGTGGAGGGCGGCATCCACTTCCGGGAGGGACGTTCTCTCTGGACTAGGATGACGGATTCCTTGTGTTTGGTTGCTGGAGCCATGAGACACTTGAACTGGGTGTGTGAATCTTCTTACGCTATAAAATCTCTCGGAACCTTGCGGGTAGGAGGGCAACCCTTCCCTTCAAATGCATCCAAAGCACGGCGCTGCCTGCCATGGCTGCTTACGACCTGTACATGCGCAATGAGATATGTTCCAGGTACCAACCCCACTGCACAAGGTATTCTGGCACCTAGCTATGTTAAAGCTGGCCCCATGATCTTTACGGTAGAAGTCTTGCCTGTCTCCGGAGACTGGGCCTGCAATACACAGTTGTATCTCACAAATGATGGTTTTTCCTTAGAAACTCCGTTTGGATTCCTGGTGATTCCTGAATGGGTCGCATAGCGCTGCAAGGCCTACCAAACGCGGAGGCCCAACTCGAAGGTATGAAGCTTGCCCTGGAGAAGAGTGACACAGTCACCGCAAAAGGAAAGAGTGTCCAATCAACCAACTGTTTGGTGTCTCCGTCTGGCAATTGTGGCAAGTCTAGCCTAGCTTCTTGTTACTAGTAGCTTCAAAGACCTACTAGTAGCGTCCTTGCTCCTAGTAGCGATGCCCTTTGCTCCTAGTAGAAATGGCAGGAGCGCCCCGTTCGTAGTATCGAATTCGATGCCTTGCAAACAGCGAAGTGACCATGGCTGCACGGCTTAGTTTCGCATCTGTTTAAAGCCCTTAAGGCCCGCATCTTTGCACGGCATTTTTTCCGTAGCTTCTGTCTAAATGAGTCTATATATATATATTATGTATATAAGTCTATATGAATCCGATTCTCTAGTCGGCTGCCAAGGTCGAAAGGTTGCTTGTCACACTTGTTTCACAGAATCAATTGGGGACCACTAGGAGAGCTACAAGTACTCGCAAGGTGAAATACAAGGAAGTCCTGAAACTAGGATGTGGACAAGCTCCGTTGGGTATTTTCTGACAATAGCATCTCTCTGCTTGAGCAATGAAAAGCTAGACGAGTCGTCAAAAAAACAAGAGTAGTTCACAAAAAGGCAAATCGATGGGAGTTTGGCTCTTCTATCCGATTATGTGGAGTGGAACCACTTAGATGTTGTTGTGCAAATGATGCAAATCGGACTCGGCTTGTACACGGAACCATGAAGACACAAACGATACATTGCAAGGCCCTCCCTCCCGTGGTTGAGCACGCAAGCGCCAAGTTTCTGTCAAATCGCAAGATTTCTATTCAACCACCATATTGTGCATACCAATCAAAGATTGGCCAATCATTCCTTAAAAAACTACTGGCCCATCTTGCGAGTGCTGTATTCTTCTCCGACCCGGAAGCTGTACGTCAATGTCAATGTCAAAGCAAAACCCAAATAGTCATGCAGCACAAGCAAGATGCATAGTTACTTGCGATCTCGCGAAAGCATGCAGCATATCGAATTGCTCTTCATTAGCGCAAACACTCATGACCTGATTGCGCTTTGAAGGCTGGACGATGTTATCTTGTTTCTCTTGGGCGGAGGATACTTATTCAATCTTATTCCTCTAAACAGGGACGGTGCGTTAGCCATATGCCCAGCTAGAGTTGAACATACGTCAGCAGGGGCGCGGTTCAATGGGATGCACGTAATACTCCGTAATATCTGAACACGCTGCCAGCATCCAGTTGGAACATGCCTCTGGCCACATGAACTTGCTTAACAGGTCCTGTGCGAGTGTCATCCCCACAATTGGCTTTGATTAGATTGTTTGGTTTTTCACTGTAGGACATCCATTCACCATCACCCCAAAACTGCCCTCAGTCCTCTGACACCCGCTTTTCCACGAATTGTTTCACGATCGAATCGTTTTCTTGTTCCAACACTCAAAAGAGATCAAAAGAGCTATATCTTCAGTTCTTGCTGCCAAAGCTTACTGCGTGTGAATCATTTTTTTCTACATGGGGTGATCTCCTGTGACCCACCAACACCTGGATCCAATGGAAAAACTAGGGGCGCCACTCAGTAAACTGAGAGCCGCTCCTCCATCCAAATGAGTGCAGCATTGGCAAGAAATTCTAAGAAACCCTCGGCAAGCAATATGAATTCGCGATCTATCCTACCAAGCTGTGTAAAAACAGAAAAACTTGGCCAACATGAAGTCCGCTGCAAGCTTGACTCGTCCTCATCCTGTCGTAGCAACTCCTGCATTGTCACTCGCGGCTTCCTTCCCTGAGGCAGGGCAATGTTAGAAATGTGTTCGCTCCCGAAGAGAAGTTCCAAAGTCTAAATCCTGTGCACAAGACTTCCGGCTCATAGTATTGATTGCGTCACATTGAACATGTCTTGCAGTGCCACAATATTTCCAGTTGTTTCGCTTCAGTCTGTGGCTCTGCAAAGGGACTAAGCTGGTTCCCACTTCCAAGGAAGAGAATCAATCTGGCAGACATTGATTGATACGCGCGTCCATCTCCCTCACGCCGTCTCTGTGTTGCCCATTAAGTTGAGCTATTGGTATTTGGACGTATTGGTGCCTCATGTGCCTCCAAAAATGAGCCTATAGCCTAATATGGAAAGTGATCTGCCTCAACCCAACAAACTCAACTTCGTAACTGGAAAGTCGTTGGGTAACCCTGGAACGAACTCTGCCTCCTTCTCTTGCATTTACAAGGCAAAAGGAAACCAAAAGATCTATCGGACTGATTCCTTTCCTCGCACTCGGCACCTCGGTAGCATTCCCGGTCACAGCAGCCTGCAATGCTGGCCAACATGCAGCAACCCAAACAAAACTTCAAGAGGAAATATTGGTCATACTGGAGTGTGTATCGACAACTGGATCATGGAAGATATCAAGAAAAACCTCCTTAGCATGTTAACATCCAATTGAGTTGGATGTTCTCTGTCATGCGGCCAAACTTGGAATGTTTCTTTCAATGATCCGTCTAGCTCCTGGTTCGACAAGAGATGCAAGAAAATGTAAGAGGATCAAAAATATCAAAAATAAAAAAAAGCTTACCAGCTAGCCTTTGTCAAGGTCCCTCCCCATATTTGCCGCGAGCTTTTCTTCCGGCTGCCGACTCAGGAGAGTTACAACAGAGTACACCACCAACACCAGCAGGGCAACTGAAAACAAGGAAAAGCAAACCTAGAAGCAGTGGCCTCCAACCTAATAGCGATGGCCTCCAACCTACGAGCGATGGTGCAGCTTGAAGCAATGGCCCCCAACCTGATAACACTTGAACTGTGTATTGTGTTTGTGGTTACGTTGTGTGTTGTCCGGTAGCGCCCACTGTGACCTGGCGTTTGCTGTTGAGGTCCGGTGGCACCCACTGCGATCTCACGCTTGCGGCTGCGTTTCGGTATATAGTGCTGTTGAGGTCCGGTAGTTCCCACTGCGATCTGGCACTCGCTGTTGAGGTGCGGTAGTGCCCACTGCGATCTGCTGGCCAGGAGGAGGAGGAGGGGAGAGGAGAAGAGCTCTGATAGAATCTAACAACCCTCACCTGGCAGGTGGGGAACAAACTTACAGTATCAACCTCTCTGAAGCGCCCTTTGTTGGAAGACAAGACAGGCTGTGGATCAGTGGACAAACAGCGACAGAAACCGTCGCCATCGTATCCTCTCCTGCAGTGCTGCTGCAGTTGCAGCAATCGTCTGACTCGGGCCGCCAGTCCTCGGGACCAGGAAAGGTGGTCTCCAAGGACTTCTGCACAATATCAGCCCAATTCAACTCAATCCAACCTCATGTGCAGGCCTATAGCGGGCCCACAACATCATGACATGCCCCTACCTTGAAACCTGGGAACTCACGCCAGAAATGGCAAAGAAATCATGTGCCAGAAGCTCCTGACTCTCAACTCTCCACATGAAAAAGGAAACGTCACGGTTTCACCTGAACCGTGGCCTGCGTGCGGTAGGGCGTGGCGTGTCCATGTCCCGTCGCTCAAACATCGCCTGCAAATGCTCCGGTGATGTGCAGCTTGGACTCCGTAACTTAGGAGCGGTGGTTTCTAACTTAATAGCGATGGCCGACAACCTGTCTAGGGATAGGAGATGATAGGACAAGTGATTATGTTCTGCTGTTCTGCTTAAGTAGTTTTCTTACTTTGGCTTGGACCGACTGATGGCATATTGTCCATTTGTGAAGGAAAGAAACTAGATCTACATGCTTCTTCGCACCAGATCTTGAACTGGTCTTCAACACTGTCAAGAAGAAATGCTGGCTCCAAGGGTGTAAACACACCGTTCGATCTCGGAGAACCAATCTGGGAGACTTACTTCACAAAGACCCAAAGAACGATCAATACCACGCTGCTACGACCAACACAAAGCTCTTTCCTTTGTCGTCCCGTCGCCTTCAACCGGTGGCAGCTTCCGACCTTGCGAACGCGGCTTTCGACGTCGGGAGGCTGTCAGTTGAGCCGCAGACGCAGGCCTCCACGGTGTCAAGCTCGGACTCGGTCACCTCAACTCAGGAGAGAAGATCAGAAAAGAGTGGAGTCCGGAGTTTGGCATCCAAAAGTACTTGGACCTAATGTCGCTCTTTCTAATCAACGTCGGAAGTTCTCACATTTGAGTCCCTGAACAGCAGTGTCCTATCTTGATTGATCAGCACACTCTGTCAAAATGTTCCGTTGTTTCCTCTTTCACTGGATGATGGATGATCAGCAGGCAGGTGGTGCAAAAACAGGCCCTTGTAGCTTCTTGGGCGATGATCTCACGCCTGTGCACTGGTAATGCTTTCGACTCAAGGCTCTGGCCAATGGTGAAGGAATGCAGAAGGATTCCAAGGTCTGACAGTACCACCAAAAGACCATGCAAACATCACAAAGAAATATCGAGCCAATACCTTTTCTCAAGAAAAACGAAGCGTCTTTATAAAGAACAGAAAGAAGTCCAAAATGAGGTCCAAAACACTGATCTGTCCCAAAGCGTCACTGAGAAGCGAAACGGCTAAAGCGCTGCACCTCCTGACCTGACTTGGTCGAAGAGAACAGCACCGGTGACAACCTGAGAAGGAGAGTCACCGGTGACCATCGACGGATGTCAATGATCAGAGATCAGAGATTCAGATTGCTTCGGATTCCCGGCAGAGTCACGTTCTTCTCCACTTTTCACTCCAGAAAAGCCAATCGCATTCTTCTACTTTCACCCATCTTGTCCCCTTTTGCCTGTCTGGGGATCCCAACCCATAGTCGTCTGTTTGTTGGGTCGCCTGGAGCGGCAAGCGCCTTATGTCACAGGATCGCGATGGTCCTTTTTCACGGTGGCTTTTGGACAGTTTCTTTTGGTTGTCACTCTACAGTCAGTTCGTCTCAGTTCTGTTTGCTTTGCTCCATTTGGGTTGGAACATCCTCCACAGGCGCTGGCGGTGAGAAACGAGCCCCAGCGCGGGCAGGGGTCGGAGTCATCGGAAGCCTGGGCTGCTGAGTCACAACTGTCGATGTGAAAAAGTCTAATGTCTATGATGTCTACAGAAGGTTTATGACTGTTCCGGCCATTGAGAGACCATCTGCTATGTGTTGCTCTTAATATGTCTTCAAGTCTTCATGGCGCATTCCCCCTGCGCAAGCTCCCGCAAAGGACAAAAGATGCCATCCGATTACTTCTCAAGCCAAACATGCCGATTCATCGATGATTAAGTTTCTAAGTGGTGACTTTATTAGCCAGTTTGGGAGGAAGAAATCCAAGGAACACAAAATAGAATATGCTCTGATCTCGATTGATCCAATGAATCCAATGGTTGCTGTTCAATGGGTCTTCACCCACAGGTCTCTAGAAACGAAGAAATCAGTTCATCTTCAAACTGTTGCTTGAAGGCTAATCTCGATTCAGCAAAGCTGCAAATGGTTATCCTCCTTGGCCTCTACAAGTGCTGTCAACGTGTCTACGGTATGACAAAGAAAAGGAGATCCATTCGCTTGATTAGCTGCAGTCATAATCAGGTCTACCCGATGTTTAAAATGCATCTGCAGTTGCGACCAAACAAGCGCTCTGTTAAAGCTTCTTGAAGCCCTTACGTCATGGAAACTCTGACATTCAAGAAATCGGCATGCCCATGAAGCTGAGGGTTCCTAGCAAATACAAGTAGAAATAGCTACTAGTAACAGGTGCCACGCTACTAGTAACAAGTGCCTTACTAGTAGTAACAAGAAGCTACTAGGAACAAGTGCATCGCTTCCAGTAACAAGTGCCACGCTAGTAGTAACAAAGAAGCTTGTTGCCTTTACACCATCGTTCGATTGCCTGCAGAATTCTCTCGCGTCGATCCACATCTGCCTGAAGGTCTTTCGGAACGAAGAAATGACCGCATCCATCCCCCAGACTTGATAAGAAATCCTAGTGAATTCTTGTTTCCAATAGCTTCTTGTTACTAGTATGGCCAGGAGCCCCTAGTAGCGTCCTTGCTCCTAGTAGCGATGCCAGGAGCCCCTAGTAGCGTCCTTTAAAGAATAACAAATCACAGTGGATTGCTATTATTTCTTCCCTTCGGTTTGTATTCTCTTGTAAAGCATGAGCACACACCTTTCACTTGAACAATCCGCACTCCAGATTGCCTGTCTTCAGAAAATGAGCTGACACTTGATACTGGAGCACCAGGGACAGGTGTGGAAAGGTTCCGATTCGGAAAGCGGACTAAAAAGGGTTAGAGGGCCATCCTATGAGAAACGGGTTGGATCATAAGCCGGGATTGCACAAGCCTCTCGGAGTATCAGGGCACGCTCGCGCTCATCGAGATCCTCGGAAGAATGAGTCTCCATCCGATGTTGTTTCTATCAGAAAATGATGTCACCAAGTGCACTCACAAGAAGTCGGTCTACATAGGTAATCCGTAAGAGCCTACCTGGACCTAGGCAAAACAATCATGGTGTTGTTGACCATGCATGTTGCTTCGGAAAGTCCGAAATTTAGCTTGCAAACAAACCATACGATATTCATATTGGCTGTCTGCAAGCTTCTCGAGTTCAAGAAAGGTGATGGTCACTACATCAGAATTTTGCATCAAAAAAGCTACCGTTTCTTTTGAGCAATGGCAGCCATACATGACCAACCATCAAATATTTGTTTTGTGAAAAGAGAGCAAATGAAAATGCAAAACAAAAGCAAAAGCAAACAGCAAAAACAATGCAAAAAGAAAAAAAGCAAAAATACAGCAAGCAAAAAAGTGAAAATAAAGCGGAAAAAACAAGCAAAAAAATTGAGCTTGCGTGTTTGTCGCTTTTTTAACTGTTGTTCGCTTGTTTCCCACTCTTTTTCGCTTTATTTTCACTTTTGTTTTGCTTTTTGTTTGTTTTTTGTTTTTTCCTAGGAGCGTACAGCGAATATTGCTGACGGGTAAAAGTTTTCATAAGTGCAGAAGTGGTACCAGAAAAAAAAAAGAGCGAAAACAATGCGGACAACATTCGAACATAAAGCGGGAAAAATGTGATAATATAGCGAAAAAAACGTGAAAAAATAACGATAAATACGCAAAGCTACATATGTTTGCTTGGTTGTTTGCTTTACCTTTTGCCTTTTTTTGCTTATGTGTTGCTTTAAATATTTATTTTGGCTCCTTGTATCTATGGCTGGCGTGCCCGACTCAAAGCTACAGTCTATGAGTCTCTGGTCGGATTGGCAATCTCATTCCACATGCCCGCAGTTCCAGATTGGATCTTCGTGTCATCGAAGGATGTGAACTCGGAAAAGTCCTGCTACCCCTCCCTCTCTCACTTTCTTTCCCTTGGACGGTGTGTTCCCATGCATCTACTCCTTCCCTAAAGCACAAGCTGTCCTCTTTACGCTTCTTGGCTTCGTAGTTGGCAGACGCCAGCTCCTGGAGAGCAGCGATGTGTCCGCCTTTGGCGCTTCACTTCCTAGGTTTACTGGCACAAAGCATTACGTTGCGTTGACCCAAAGCACCAGAATTCACCATGTCAGCGTGCGGCAAGAGCAAAAGGATGAAGTGGAACATATTTGAAGGCTTCCTTGGAGCATGGTCGGATTCGTTTCCGCAAGAGTTTTGAAAAAGCAGGTCCTATGTGCTGTTTTCATATGAAGTCATATTACAGGACTTCACCTATCTTCAAAACAATAACAGGACGGCCGTGAAGATAATAAAAACATCAATCCTGACTGTGCAAAGCTTTCATCACTTCGCCACAGCAGCTGCTGATGCTGGTGTTTCATAACTGCCCGCCAGATGACACCACGTCTACAGTGTCTACAGAGTATGAGAAGGCTTTCCAAAAAGTTGAATGTCACCCAGAAGAATGTGGTAACAGGATGAAAAACTAAGTGGCCTTACCTTCATCCGTGCATGTTGCATCCAGCTTTCACCCCTGCTGCCCTTTCCAGTTGGGCTGTCCTGCTCGGCAGCACAGATGATACGGGCCTCAAGCCGTGACACGGGAAACAAAAGGGTACCAAATGATGCTAACTACCAGTAGCTTCTTATTCCGAATAGTAAGGCCTGGAGCTACTAGTAGCGTCCTTGCTCCTAGTAGCGATGCCCTTTGTTACTAGTAGCGATACAAAAAAAACGACGATGTTGCCTTCTCAGACCGAAAAAACGTTTTCCTCCTTCAAAGGAACTACATCAGCTGCGTGGCACAGGAGTCTTGCAGCTCAAGCTTGAAGTTCTCCACAGCTCCGTTCATGGTTGATCCTCAGGCCAAGTAGGAAGGGCACCCCCCAAAAGGTAGAGATGGCACCCAATGGATGAGTCATCCTCTAGGGAGTTTACAAGTGGTGTGATCTGGTTTCACTTCCTGGGATGCATGGCTCACACCTCTACCCATCAGGTCTCATGTGCCTGTCTCGTTGCACACAGCAAATGACTAAGATTAAAAAGGAGGAGGATCAAGAATCCAAAAGAATCCAGGATCTCCTTGTGGGGCAAGTTCCATCCGGAGTCGGCTTTTCCAGAAGCATCGCTGGTTGATTCGAAGTTCGACGTGAAAACACCAAACCAAGCAACGCCAAAACCTACCAGGAAGCCTCTCTGTTGAGTGAACAGCAAACATCTCGCCGTCTGGAAGTCACAAGAGTCACAAGGATTCCGTAGCGCAGATTGACCACAACATTTGGAGGTTCACAACTCCCAATATTTCCTCCCCATCCACGGTGACTCATCCACATGAAAAGACCTTTCTCCAAGACGAGAGACTGCGGACGCTGAGATGAAGCCGGGAAGACTGAGCCCAAAGGACTACCGAGGCGGCTACTTGGCATTTCCCCCCCACATCATTGCAAAGTATCCGATTAAAATCTGTCAAATCAATTGATCAATGCCCTGCGTGCTCATGAGGATCTCACTCCACATGAACCTTCTTCCACTTTCACACCGCTTCCTCACTCTCATTCGCTCTTCTCGTTTTCGCTACCGCATCCGGCTGTGAGCCAAGCACTCGGGGTAGTGCTTGCGAATCCAACGCCTCAACTGCTGCGGTTAGTTGCTCGAAAACCCAACTTAAGATCATGGAGTTGAACCAAAGAACATGTGTTTGAAAGCATCCAAACCATTCTTGAGGCAAGTGGCAATACCTAGTTAGTTCAGTCCATTCCCTTATGTGGAAAGGCCTAATTAGTTGCATGGAGCACATCGTTCCTGTACTGGTGGTGTGGAACAAAACCTTTTCCAAAACCTTTCACCTTTGAAACTTTGTGGTTCAACCCAACCCCGTAAAGGTCAACTCCAAAATTACTCCCATTTCCCACCGATCGACCACTCCCAGCCAAGTAGCAGCTAAGAGAATCAACATTCACATAATTCATTCTTGCCATTGTAGACCATATCCCTCACAATTTTAGTAAGAGTTGTCCAAATGCCGAGAACACCTACGGTTCCCCCCGTTCTCGTTCGAGGAGCCAAGTGAGACTGATTCGAGGACCACTACATCCAGCTTTGGGAATGCGATGCATGAAGTGCTTCTGGGTCATGCCCTCCATGGTCAACAGGTCTCCGCTCTTCAACCTCGGTCACATGTCTTCCTTGCCTTCAGGATGTAAAGCAAGCGGGCAGTCAACCAACTCCATATCCCACGTAATTAGTGGTTCACGTGATATCCCATATCCATACCGTGTTAAACATTACAAGCACATGTGATTGAAACCTGGTGGTAAGAATATTTCACACATATGCAAGGTGTGGGTGCTCAGTAAGCAGGACGTTGGGTCCCGTTGGTGGGGTGGGACCCGGGTGGCATGGGTTGAGGAGTGTTCTGCCTCTCCACATGCTCAGCCAAGTCCACTTCACAGGCCAACGTGTACACACGATCTTGCTTCCACATGGTCCACGTGTATGAGTTCACGTGTACGACCTGAACGGTGTGGTCCACGTGTTTCTTTTTTTACGTCCAAAAGATGCAACTGGGAAAAGGAGTATTTCTTGTGCATATGCATGTATGCTGCTACCAATAACAATGTCTGCCCCGTCACATGGCACCCCAGGTTCAAATGTATTGATAGATCCAGGGAGACAAGCGGTGGCAAGCCAGTGGAAAACCGGCAAACCCCTGTCTGCGCACGCTAAGGTGCGTAATCTTCTCAGTGGCCTTCTCAGCCTGGCGGGACAAATGTCTTTCCTTCTCGATGTTTCTCCTAGTCTTTCCTTCCAAACAGTCTTTTTGGTGCAGGAGAGTACCGAGTTGCTGCACATTGCCATGGAGTCTCAAAAACAAGGAAAGAAGTCTCTTGTGCCAGTAGCTGCTAGCTACACCCATCCACCTGCAGAGCTTCACACTGGAAACAGTCACGCACCCGCCTCCGGCCAGTTCCGCCGCAACTCAAAGGTGCGTGACTCTCCCAAGGACAACGAGACCACACCTAGCAGTTCTCGAATCTGACAGCTTCTTGTTACTAGCTATTTGCTACTAGTAGTACGGCCAGGAGCCCCTAGTAGCGTCCTTGCTCCTAGTAGCGATGCCAGGAGCCCCTAGTAGCGAACATTGTTCCTAAGTCAGAATTGTGGTAGACCAACTTTCTTCTGGCATCGGTCTGTGAGGGACTTTGGGATAGACAAAGTACTTGCAGAGTGGCGGTGGTGTCGAAATCAAATTTGTTTCACTCCCAAAAACAGTACAATGGGCAGCAGTCGTCTACTCAAGTCAACTTGCCACGAGGCTTGTGGGATCCCAGATGGCCCATTGAAAAACATCCTAAGAATTCAGCTTGTCCCCAACTCACGAGCATATCTCCCCTCCGTTGCAAGTCCCAAATGGCCAAGGCACTAATGTCCTCCAACTTCCCTTGAAAAAGGCCCTCGTCATCTGCGTGCCAGCCCATCGAAGCTTCACCGTCCTCAGTTTGAGAAAGTAACAAGTGCATCGCTACTAGTAACAAGATGCTACTTAGAATCCGGTGTTACTAGTAGCTTCTTGTTACTAGTAGCGATGCACTTGTTACTACTTATTTCAGGGATTAACATGACAAGACTCAAAACATGATTTTCTATCAAACACGGAATCCCGACGTCCCTTCGTCCATTCTGCAAGATGTCTGTCTCTCACGATGTCGACTCTGGACATCGTTTCCATCACCCGCCTCAAGGAAGTTGAGGGTGCAGGAGTCGGGCCAGTCCTTCGACAGGAGTCCACAATGCTTCCTGGGCGCACCGGCTTCGTCACCCGGCAGCTGCGCAGCTGTGGAACTCCGAGTTCTTCGTACTCACTGCTTAACCCTACTTTGATTACTTGATGCGGCGGATTGATGCAACCCGACTTGAAGGAGAGGCGATATGAGCCAGCGTCTAAATTATGGTTTGGGCTGTATTCATAAGCAAATTAGGGCGTCCCCTAGCGTTTTTCAGGTTTTGACACTTTGGGGTGGCTATCGTTTCGGGGTATCCTTTTTAGGGCGTTCACGTTCCCCTATCGTTTTTAGGGTGGGGCTACCTGAGAAGGGGGGGAACGAAAGCCAGCAGCCGCCAGCCGAGAGGGTCTTTTGCTGGCTGCCGTCGCAGGGAAGTCGAGTAACAGATGCTTACTAGGACGATGGCAGGCACTGTATGCTTGAACATTGGTGTCACCAAGCGTCATCCCAAAATATTGCATAGATCCGTGGCTATAACTAATCCTTAAACACTTCAACACCAATCTCTTCACCCCACGAAGTTGCTATCTACACGGGCCCCTTTTCTGATAGCAACTTGTCGCTGCCAACCAGCCACTATACTTGCCCCAAGACATCCAACCAGACTTCTCTGATGACTAGGAGGATGGCAGGAAATATGCCGCAGCATTGGTGTGACCAACCGTCATCCAAAAATATTGCATAAATCCGTGACTATTACCCATCCTCAAACAGCAATCTCTTCACCCCACCAAGTTGCTATCTACACGGGCCCCGTTTCCGATAGGGACTTGTCGCTGCCAAAAACCTACCACACCTGCCCCAACACATGCAACCAGATCATCTTCGAACCTTGGGGGTCTTCTGCCAGAGTCAAGACGTCGGAGCAGACTCAGAGCGAGCTTTGGAGCAGGTTCTGGAAGAGGTTCCGCAGCGGATCCGGAGGAGGTGCAGCAAACGGTTCCGGAGAAGATTCCGGGGCAGGTGCCAGAGAAGGTTCGGGAGAAGGTTCCGAGGCAGGTCCGTGAGGAGGTTCTGGAGAAGGTTCCGGAGCAGGTTCCAAAGCAGACAAGGCTCCAAAGGAGGGCTTGGACAGCGAAGAGACTGTCTCAGTGGCGCTTTTTGCTGTTGTGGACTTTACTTGCACTTATGCTACTGACACGCCCAAAATATAAGCATACGTCGCGGCTACACCTCTCTTCCCAGAGACATAGAGACACAGAACCATAGAGACACAGCGTCATAAAAGACAGAGACATAAAACACCGAGAAGTTGCTATCTAGACGGGGTCCTTTTCTGATAGCAACTTGTCGCTGCCAACCAACCACTATACTTGCCCCAAGACATCCAAGCAGACTTCTCTGAAAGGATGACTAGGAGGATGGCAGGAAATATGCCTCAGCATTGGTGTGACCAACCGTCATCCAAAAATATTGCATAAATCCGTGACTATTACCCATCCTCAAACAGCAATCTCGTCACCCCACCAAGTTGCTATCTACACGGGTCCCTTTTCTGATAGGCACTCGTCGCCGCCAACCAATTACCATACTTGCCCCAATACATCCAAGGAGGCTTCTCTGACAAGGAGGATGGCAGGAACTATATGTCTCAGCATTGGTGTCACCAAACGCGAGAAGCATCGGTCCACGTGGACACCGTGAAAGGCATCCGCTCGACCGAGGAAACGGTACAAGTATAGTAGAAACTAGGATGGTTGCTCTGTACATGGGTGCCTGTCTCCACTCCAGTGCTCAATGCCCATTGTCCAAATAGCCTCCACAACCCTTCATGATGCTAATGATGCACTACTCGGCGTCCATTGCATCACTCGCATCACCAGACCCCATTTTCACTGCGGACCCTCGCTTTGGAGCGCTCTCCCCCAGCAAGCTCCGGGTTCACCCTCTCAAATGGTGCCTTTTCGCGGCCTACTCCCCCCACACCCCCTTAACTCACTTCGTTCGGTCTAAGAGCTCAAGCCTAGCCTATCGGCTGGCTTTCGTAATAAAACCCAATACCGACAAAACGTTCCATATACAGAAAAATGCTTTTACAATAAATTAGACTGCGGGGAAGCGACATAAAATTTTGTGAATTGAACAGGGTGAAAGAACTGTCCTTCTCAACACACGGTGAGACCAACAGTGCGGTGAGAATGCAAGGAATCATTTCGCCAAAACGGCAGCCAGGCGAGGCACATGACCTTCTTGAGAATCTCCAGCATCCACCTGACGCTGAGATAGCGACGTCTGCGACTCGGCAAGTCAGGTTCCACTCGTCCGTCGGTACATAAACGTTGCCGTCTTGGAGAACGTTGACAGCGAAAGTGCTTCAGTGGAAATGTTTAGTGCTTGGAGTTCGGGGCTTCTTTTTTAGCCCGCTCCCCCCCCCTCCCTACTTAATTCAGTAGGCGCCTACTTAATTAAGTAAGGATTAGCTACCTAGTAGCTTAAATAGCTACTAGGAACTGGACGCAGGATAGCTCGCGCTAATGATTTGGTTCCTAGATTGTTGGGGAAACTTAACTTTTGGGGAAACTTTCACTAGATTGGACTATTGGACTACTTTTTCTTCCTTTCTGAAATGTTCAGCGGTTTCTTGATTCCAATTCCAGTCTCACCAAATTGAGAGCCCTGAAACCAGTCCAGTTCCCAGCTCCCCAAGTACCCCCGTCCCTCACATCCGAGCAACACAGGAAATTGCTCGCTCTCCAGCTCTAGACCACCATAGCAGTACTTGCAGGAACAGCCTGACACAACGCGGAATGTCCACGAATTATGAAGCAATGCAAAGCTGCTCTGTTGTGTGGGCAAACAAAAAGATCAAGAAGGTGTCAAAAGCCAGTCACAGGTGTTTAACAAAGAACATGATAAGAAACACCTGTAGAACATGTGTTTTCTAGAAGAAAAAGACCTTGTCAAAACCTTTACTATTGGCAAGAAGCTACTAGGGGCTCCTGGCATCGCTACTAGGAGCAAGGACGCTACTAGGGGCTCCTGGCCTTACTACTAGTAACAATGTTTGCTAAAAGGAACAATTTGCAAATCGTGTTGTTCTCTCGCTTTAGCCGATCGCCTCTGGTCATCCAGGCTGTTCGTGTCCGCTGACCCGGGGTCATCGGCTCAGGAAAAGACACACTCTCCTGGCCACGTGGACAGCTTTGCTGAGCTTTGCATTGTCTGAGGAAATCATTGAGCATCTGTCTTCATTGGCACTGCAGTTCCCCTCATTAGTGGGTTCTGGACCACCTTGTGCTAAAGAAACTGTACGCAAAGTAAACCTGATCTTCGGCGCGGGGTCTCACTGTCTCCAACAAACATTCTTCCGTTTCAGAAGAAGGGGCGCTCTACAGCTCATCTTGGTGCTTTAGAATCTGTCACTGAAGCACTATATCAAGTATTCGTTTCTTCCATCCTACCATCCACATTTCCATGCCCCGTCTATCCCCGCTCCTTGATCTGTTTAAACATCATGCCACACTCTTTGGGAGTGAACGCAGACCTCTAGCATAACAACGGCGGCAAACGGCAAGGAAACTAAACCAACTAAACTTACTCGACAAGAAGCTGAACGAGGGAACAAGGGAAACGCGAGAAGTGAACGCTCCTTGTCCTTCGCACTGCTTTTTAGCTTGAGTTGGGCCCAAGAGCAAAGCTCAAATGAAGTATGAACCGCTTCTGTAAATCCGCGGGCAATCTTCACACTTCTTATCTCTGCTTGTCTTCTTTTTGCTTTCAAGCAGTTTTTCAGCCAAGCCACGGCAAGTAGCCAACAAAGGATCGCCGGCTCTCGTCGGAGATGAAATATTCCCAACCTGTGAGCGCAAAACCCGAGATGAAGTATTCCCATTGAACACACATGCTTTTTTGATCCAAAGAAGGAAGGAATGAGGCAAAGTTGGTCGCACCCCAAACCCCCATCTTCATCTGCCGGTGAGCAACTGGATTCCGAAGGAGCCAACTCCCCCAGCAGCTTCAACTCCGCCTCCTTCCGGCGTTGAAACGCATGCGGGAAACGCAGACAGTGCAGCTCAGACTTAGCTGTTGGGCACTCTTTCATATAAGTTCTGCGTGTCTCCTGCCGTGACTGTTCCCACTCTTCTTCGCTCCATCGTTCAGGTGCATCGGAAAATCTTGGTCCTCAAGGATTGGCAAAAGAATTGTCGGAAAAGCATATTGAACCAATTATCCTCGTATTGACAGGTCTGAGATCGCTGCGTTTCGGCCAAGGCTGCTCCCAATCGTTGTCATCGTCCTGGAAGTTCAAAGCCCTCTCCCACCACCCAATCTCACCATCTCAGCAGCAGCAGCATGGGGCTGTCAGTTTGCGAGTTTATCCACGGTTCCACTAGTAATTATATGAGTCCTATGAAAGCAATCCTAATTCTTAGTCAACCCAAGAACTTCCCAAACTTGAGGTGTCATATCCGGACTGATACTCGAGTGTTTATTTCCCTGTTCTTGGAAAACAGATTGATCGTGAGGGAGTGAATGGTTTCCCTGCTCCTGTCCTCAAACCACGGTGCTGCAGAGGGTTTCGAAGACCGAGAAGGATGTTTCCGCTTCATCCAATTGAAGACCCATTCGTCATCGTCCCCATCATCATCCCACTGCCCATGCCAATCCTGACACAAAAAACAACGAGAAACAAGAAATCTTCGATGAGGCAAAATTGTCCCAAACGCTGTTCAGTTCTATTATTGTTGAAATTCATGGTTATTGGTCTATTGGTGATAAAATTGTGCGCCCGTCACAGTTTTGAACTCATGGTTTCATCGGATGGTTCCTTGCAACTCTATCCTCTCATTTTCTTGCGCTATAACCCCGCTCCCTCTCTCTCTCTCTCTCTCTCTCGCTCTCGTTCTAATCCCTGTCTCTCTTGCTGTCTGGATCCTCATTGGTGCAAGTGGACTCCTCCGTCACATGTTTCCCAGTGACACTAAAAGGATGCATACGGTGAGAGGCTTTAGCAATGTCTAAACGGGGCGTCTTGGAACTGAGTGGTGAGGAGCGTCGCGTCGAAAAACCGTTTCCACGGCAATCTCGCACGAAAAACAGTTCGCATGTGGACGTGGATTTCGCTGCGGTGCCGCGCACGTGCTCTATTATTTCATTCGAACCTGGATACTGGCACGGATCGTCATTCTGTCGATGTGCTCCTGATTCTTTATACTATCACTTTCCCTTTTTGTGGCAATTTTCTTATGTCAAAATGGAAAAGCTGCCACTTGGTGAGTTGACCCGTTGCAGATGTTGACTTGACGGCGCTTAGCTTGAAATTGCTCTAATAAGCGGTTGGATGTGCCCAGGTGGCATAGTTTGATAAGTGCTGCAATTTTGTCACCAATTGTTGAGTTTTATTGCAAGGCTCTGTTTGAGGTTGGGGACTTCTGTTCAGGCTTGTCATCATTGTTGAAGCCTTTGATGGCATCATCTTAGTCAAGCCAACACTTCGTCTTTGAAGCCAATTGGCGCTTGTGTTATGTCTGATCCACCAACACTACTACAGTAATACCACGAGCAGGGCACATAAAAATCACACCGCGAAAACCACTGTTTTTTTGTCTCCCTTTCGTCCACCCCTCTCTTAAGGGCTCTCTGGCAGAGGGGCCCTTTTCGCTCACCTGGCATCAAAAGCGAGGTGACTCGGACGAAAAACTGCACAAGTGACCCAAGTGACTGCGCACATGCTGAACACTGAAGCCGCGCTCTTTTTGAGGCCAGCGATCTTTGTCTGCAGACTTGCCTTCCACCATCACCACCAGCACCAAGTACCAAGTAGGTACTGTAGTATAGTAAGTCAGTAGGTAGTTGGTAGTCAGCCTTCAACCCGAAAAGTTGCTGATGATGGGAAAGCCGGGAATGCGGAAACGGGATCCGTAGCAAAGAACCCCGAATGGATTTGGTGATATCTGTATTCTGGGCAAACCATGGAAAACATCAGTCAAATAAATACGCAGGCCACCAACGCAAGCTGGAGAACCTGTTCACAAGCAAGTTCAGGCCGCGTTGCCAAAGAGGGGTAGCACCTTAGCCTTTTCGCGGGGACGACAGAGGTGAGCAAGGTGCGCCAAGCAAAAAGGCATCCCTTGAAGTAAGTCGACGCTGCAACCCTGTCAAAGTTTGAAGGTTCACAATTGCAGCCTTCCCTCAGCCCTGGCCCAAGCACTGCGCGTAGCTGCACTGCGTTCCCAAGCCAATCCTCCCTCTTACCCGAACGAGGTACAACGTCAAGTCCTCCCGTAAAACCTTTAGATCAACAGCGCAATCCGGCCATGCTCCAAACGCGTTGTTTTGCTGGTTGAAAACAATCTCACCGCCCTGGATTTTTGAGAACCAACCAACATGTTCCAAGTGGTAGGAACTTTCCATTGTGAACTTTGTCCAATCTCGCTACCAAACTCTGGCGAACCCAAATTAAGATGACAACTCCTGAAGGTAAATGAGCCTATCTCTAGTGAGAAACGGAGGAGCTTACCAGGTTGTTCAGGGACACAGGGCACGCGACAGTATGCAGGTGTACCTTTGCAGACGCATGCGTATGCAGGGCAGCAGGGTTTTTTGAACCGCAAACGCAACGCAGACTTGCAGCCTTCTTTCAAGCTTGTTGACAGTGAAGCGTTGTTGCAGTCTATGTTGCGCAGAGAGTTGCAGGATGTTCACCAGAGGGTTAGCGTCAAGGAAACTTTGTTCCTGATAGGTTGGGGCTTGGCAAGTAGATCTGGCTCAAAGTAGGCAGCAAGCAGCTCTTATGGCGTCGAGCCCTGTTGGAAGGCTTGCAGGACGTGGTTGACCCATCGAGATTGGTAACCTAGAGAGGAGAGGATGAAATCTTAGGGAGGTCCGCCCACGGATCGCAACCTTGCTGGCTGTACGCCTGGCAGACCTGCAGACCTTGCTCCATCTGACCTGGCTTATACCTGGGTCGTTCGGTCTACGTCGCAAAGCAGGCGATGTCCAACCATTTACGACGACGAGATCACTGAGCCCCGCAGGACGCACACCAATGTAAGGATCCTTGTCGCTCGTTCCGCACACAAACGGGTAGAGGTGCCAAAGCGCATGCTTTGCAGGTTGAAGCTACGCCTGTCTTTTAAGCGCTGAGCTGCTGAGCCATTCGTTATCCTGAGCCATTTCGATGGGTTTCCACAGGTGGTCTAGAAACGATTTGTCTATGGACAACTGATTTGGAAGGAAACACAGCGCGAATGCCCCGTGAGGGGCCTCATGAAGTGTCTAAGACATTCATCTGACTCACATGTGTCATCATTGAGGAGGAAATCCAAACAAAGGCAAAGAACCACAACCAAATCTATCTAATCAAGTAACCAAGAGAAACCCTTTACACAGTCTGTACTTCTGGTGCATCATCCCGCGATGATGTGCGGAGCAAAACTGTCGAATAACCATCCCTCGACGGTTTCCAGCGCGCAAAACACACAAAACCATCTAGGTTAATTAGTTTACCATACTAATTCAAATGGTTCCAAAATGCTTCAGCTTCAAACGTTTTCAATCATTTTTCTTGAGTCGAGCTCTGAATTGTGGTGGAACGTTACCGAAACACATTCAACCGGCCTCACACATTCTCATGTATTGATTCCAAAAGTTCTCCGACGGTTTCAAAAATTCTTGAATTCTAGTCTATCAGACTCCTTCAAGCGAGTCTCAAATCCTGCGTAAGCAGGTTTGTGCAATTGCAATACACTCTTGTCGCTATGGCGCACTGCGGTAAAAACAATTTTCACAGACCGTTGAGTGGTATGATTTGCACGGGCAGGCAAGGCAACGGAGCAGAAAGAGGCAGAGGAAAAAGGCCGATCGAGGAGCTGCAAAGCGCCTACAACTGACTTGGGCATGTCGTTTTTCACCGCAGGCAGTTTTTCACTGCGGGCTACTTTCATTTTTCCCGCCTGGCTGGATCTTGTTAACTCACCGCAAGCCACAGATACGATGGCTTTTAAAGAGCAGCTGGAGGCCAGCTTGCTCAAAACCTGTGCGTTTTCAATATTGAAGCCAGGAAGTCCAGCGCCATCACAGTGCACATGATCCCTGGAGATCAAGTCATTCTTCAAATCCGGCTTTAGAAGGAGAGCTGCCATGGCAGAGAAAAGCGGGTTCCTCGATAACCCTTGCGGATGAGTCCTCCGCCCAAGACGTTTCAACGTATCCTTCTCCTCCTACTTGCCCATCTCCTGGCGCAGCTTCAAAAGCACCTGGTAGCTCTCCTGCAAATTGGGGACAGCTGGGCAAGGGCCAACCGCATCTTCCATCCACCTCGACAAGCTGTTCCTGTCGCCACCTCCGACCACAATCGCAGATCCACTTATTGAAACATGGGCTTGCAAGGCCCGGACTGCTCCTTATCGCGCCAGGGCAAGTCTGAACGAACACTTAGGAAGCTATTGATGCGATAAAGGTAGTGGGAGTTTGGAGTCGGAGCTTGTTCATTGGCTGGCAAGATCGTGGGCATACTTTCTAACCTGACGCAGATCAGGAACCTCCCCAGACCAACTCGAACCTTTCTTACAAGTGCAAGTGTGAAGCACACATTGCACCCGCTCATATAGAAATTGGAACAAACACAATCAAGCGTCCAACAAGAACAAAGAACCTAAAGTGAGGTCAGTGAGGTCATCTGTGGCCACTTTAGCCTAGCCACGGAATACCGTCACCTGAAAACAATCGAGTGAAAACGTTGTAGGTATATTGGCCAACTAATTAAGCAACCAAGCTCGACAACGCCTCCATCTTGGGCAGGATTGAGTCCACGTCCAGGCCATCAGCGCATCCCCAGCGCCCACGCGTGCTCCTGCTCAGCAAGCCTCACAACCAGTGGCCTTCAATTGCGCGTCACGACCCATGACTAAAGGCTAAGAGCAGATTTTGCGTGCGTCCTGAGTCCTGAGCCCCTTCAACAAAAGGAGGATGGGATGCTGTTAGCAGCTCTAGACTAATGACTGACCGTGTAGTAGCGTCAAACTCAAAGCGCTTAAACCTCAGCAAAAATCAAACAGCTTGTGGCTTGTGGCCCTCTTTGTCCAAATTGTCAAGGGAATTCCCCTTGGCCACAAACGACCCATCCTGATACATCAAGGTGGCCTTTAATTCTCACACCTTCCATCACACCGTGGCGCTACACCATGCCTCGGGCGAATGCATCCTCAAAATTAGACTGCGTCATGGCACCAGGAACTTGCCTTGTCAGTGCGTCGGCGCTCCGGTCCTCTCAACATGCACCTCGCGCACGACTTGTTTGTAAGGCGGAGACCCTGGTTATCCTGCAGGTCCATGGCCCAAATCAGCAGAGGCAGGAGTACATCACCGTGCATTCTCATCATCAATTTCAATGTTGCGTGGTACTGGGTGAGGAACAACTGAAAGGCTTTCTGGAATCGAACTTGAGCTGTTGAACCCCAACGACCCCAGTAGACCTACAAAAGCAGTGAACTCCAGTCCATCGTTGTTCTTCGAAGGGAGCCAACCGAGCACAATCCTTCTTGTGGACATCTGTTGAAGAAACCGCGAAGCCGCCAGGCATCCAAGCGACTGGCGCCAAACCTTTTGGGGGGTATGGGTTTGAAGGACTTTCAGCCACGGCCCAAGAGAGCTAGCCAAAAGAAGTAAACTAAACTGGCTTAACTTTTCGGCGTCGCTGCAAAGACCTCGAACAGCGCTGGGCCGGGAGTCTTTCCACTACCTGTGCCCTGCGCCATGCAACGGTGTATATGTTCAGTACAAAAGAACCCCTGCCACAAAAGGCCCAAGGAAAACATTGATTCCGGCTCTTTCCACGCACATTGACAAACCACAGGCCCTGGGGCTTGCCGGTGTTCGGAAGGTGGTTCGTTCGTCATCAGAGTCAGTCCCGCAACCTGCTGACCAAAATTGGTTTTTCTTTGGCGCACAAGGCACAAGACATTATTGGTGGGCGCGCCCGGATCGGAATCATGAGCCAACTCGTTTTTCAACAGCGTTTGTCAACCAAGTGGAAGGACTTGTAGGCGGCTGACATGATCGCCAAATAGCTGGGGCGCTATACAGCTGGCAGCCGGCCCATCCCGAAATATTGCACTGCCCACGAAAAGAAGTTGCTGTACAGTAGCCGATGTCCCGTTTGGAGTGGAGGATCAGTCTGGGACAAGGGTTCAGTAAATGCGGGGGGGGTGTCAGAACCCCATGGGCTTAGAGCTCATCGCCCCATCAAATTCTCTGCACCGCGCTTTTTTAAGTTGACCCAGTCATTCTCTTACTCGTGTCCTGCGTCTCCCGCGCCCCGCCTGACGCACCGCCAGAAAGAAAATTCATCGGTGCACCCTGTAGGCATGTAGGGCCTGGTGGTGTGGGGCGTTTGTTCAGCTGCAAACTGACTTTTTTGACGACGTGAAGGTCGAAGCCCCTAGCACGATGCGACCCAAAAGCGTTGGCGCTCTCTTAGTGAAGAGTTCACCGCCCAAAGCGGCTGGGTCGCAGCATCCATCATTCTGAGAAGCCAAAAAGAAATATGGGCGGTCTGTTTGTAGTGGGGGAAAAGGTTGTGAGTCATGATGATCACAATGCTGCAGCCGGAGGGGAGAGAGAGCGAGAGAAAGAGTACCCGCAGGCTGGACTACTTGTGGTTGCACCCGGGTTACCCTGGCTTTGCACCCCAACCAGTAGGAATCTTTTGGTTGGAGTGCCCTATGTTTTTGACAGCGCGCTGGCATGCTGCAGTATGCCAGCGTGCACAGTCTCCTGCGACTTTGAAAGGGCAGATCATTCCTTTCCATGCTCGCTTCAAGTTCACATTGCGACCGTTTCCATGCTTGCTGGCAAACCTGGCTTGCCCTATTTGTGGCTCCTTCTTGTAGACTGTAGACAAACACATCTTGCACATCAATCCATGGTCAGAAAGAGGCTTTTACTTGTGCGAGTGTGATCCAAGCAGCCACGTGAGGTCTTTCTTTCAATCTTTTGTGAAAGCTCGCAGCGACTGGGACTGCAGAAGAATCATCGAACCCTAGGGTCTATTATCCAAGCCTATTCCCAAGAACAAAGCACTTTGGTATGAACAGCGACTCAATCCCGAGCGCCCAGTCAAGAGATACCCCCGCTCCACAGGATTCAGGATGCCAACAGCCAAGTTCAAGATAGAATGTCGCAACATCTCCAAATGACTGAATGACTGGGCCCTGGCCCTTGGTCGTCCTTCGATCCATCCAGCCAATGAGAAGCTTTGAGACTTGAGGAGCTTCCTACGCTCTCTATGCTCTTGCAATGCCATGTTTGCTTGGTGATTCATGTGTTGGTGGTAGGCTTTGCTGGAGTGGAAAACCCCAAGTCTTGTCTTCATCCCCCACTGAGGGGGGAGTGGGAAAATTTTTGTGGGTGTGTTGATTCTGTGCCCTTCCTAAAATGACTGCAGTCAGCCAAAGGGACTGGCTGAAGTTGATTCAAAAAGCTGGTGCTCGTTTTAAACTGTTAAGCAGCAAAACCTTTTACTGACTATTCTATACTATACTGGCCATGGATTTGACTCGACCAGAAGACTGACCCAGCATTACCTCGCTGCCCACCCACTTAGCCAACAAGCTTTGGTCCACAGCTTGAGAGAAAGGACATTGTGTGACCTAACAAAAAGTTGTCTGCATTTTCTACACCAAAGCTCCAGCATCATCCACTACTATTTAGACATGCACACACTCCGAAGCAGTGTAAAGTAAAACTCTTTCCAAGCCATGTTCACCCATTGTGATATGTTAAATGCGCTTGAACCGCGGGAGACCAGCCGGTGTGATCTCTCACAGTAGAGCCTCCATCCACAAATCCACCACTCACCCTGAGCCCCAAAAGCCCCTGAAGCCTGCCACTTCCATTGATCAGCTTCTTCATCCTCATCGAAGCGGAGCCAAAAATACAGCGCGCTCAAGACTTTGCGCGAAGTAAACATCAACGTGTTGGCAAATCAGGGTGCATCAGCCAAGTGTAAGGCAGTTTCACCAGTCTATCAGTGCCTAACAGGGCCTACTCCAGCCAGGTGCGCGTCATTTGCCGAATATCCGTTGCCAACTGGGTATCCGAAACACTTGACTGTGCCTTTTGTTGGTGATTGGAGCGGGTTGGCGGATTCAAAGGCGGAAAGTAACAAACGGTGGAAAGGCTGCATCAATACACTGAAAAACAAAAAAACATCAAAACACTCGAAGCCAATTTCCAACTGGCCTCCGTCACCTCATCGTCGTCCCAGGGGGAAGCGGTGCGTTGCCTCTTGGCTTCCTGCAGCGGTCTCACAACTTGCACGTGAAACTCAAGGACTCCTCCATGAAACTCCTCCAGGACTCATTAACTAAAAAAATAGAACATCAAACAACAACTGGGGTTTACACAGTTTACACTTCCATCAAAAAACTGGGTCTAATTGGTTCTAGGCGGTGCTATTCTCACTTTTAACTTGCTGTTGGGCAGAATGGTTGGTGACATGGGAGCTAAAACCATGGGTCTACCGAATCAAGGCATTTCCTCCCCTTTGTTCTTCCGATTGAATCAGGAACAGTCTTCCAAGCCAAGATTGCCTCAAATACCATTCTTTTTTCCAGCTGTCCTGTAGTAGGTGCTTCGGTGGCGGATGTGAAGGAGGCCGAGGAGCAGCCGGCTGCCTGACCCGAGAAGGTGCAATGCGTTACCAAAACTTGTAAAAACCAGATTGGTGGTAAGAATGCTCCTAGTAGTGATGCCCTTTGCTCCTAGTAGCGTCCTTGCTCCTAGTAGCGATGCCAGGAGCCCCTAGTAGCGTCCTTGCTCCTAGTAGCGATGCCCTTTGCTCATATCATCAGGAAAAAGAGTCCAAACCCCATCCCTGAAGAAATGAAACAACGCAAACAGTCACAAACTGCTCAACATGATTGAGGAAAAGTCACGTTCATGCACGGGGCCACAAAATATCTGTGCGGTGATTCGTGTGGATCGCTCCCCAATTCATTCGTTGAGACAAGCATCAATGGCATTGGTGCAAAGTGACAGGAGGGCTTTGCCGGTCCTCAGATGCGCCGACAAGGTTCCCAAACAAATGGCGATCAAATCGGCAATTCCGCGTGTCACAACCTGATTGAACCTCAGAGTTTCGCAAAGGAAGAGCTTAGCGACCGGTCTCGGAAAGATCGGTCTGCACTGCTCAAGACCATGACCTTCAACACCCGGTTCAGCTTTGGCCTGAAAAAGGAATCGTAACAAGTGCATCGCTACTAGTAACAAGTGCCTTACTAGTAGTAACAAGAAGCTATTAGGAACAAGTGCCTTACTAGTAGTAACATATTTAGGAAAAAACGGTGTGTTCTTGGACAGCAATTCTAGTAATTACAAGTGCATCGCTAGTAGTAACAAGTGCCTTACTGGTAGTAACAAGAAGCTAGTAATTACAATTCTAATTAAATTATTTTTGTTACTACTAGTAAGGCACTTGTTACTAGAAGCGATGCACTTGTTACTAGTAGCTACGGTGTGTTCTTGGACACCTTTTGTAAAAAGTGTTCAAACAGCGCTGAGAATTTCTTTAAAGACCCAAACTCCTTCCGCTCCGGACCGGGGCACTTTGTTTTGGCATTGGACCACGCAACGAGGGAGCACTTGGGCGCCTCTTCCTGAGGAAGGTTTCTTGGCGGATGCGTTCCATCCAAGATTGAGCGAATAAAAGTACTATTGATCAGCTCTGTCTCACTCTGTCTCTGCTCAATCACCCAGCACATTTCGCGGCAGCAAGCCACGGAAGGAGGCAAAAACTGAGGAAGATCTTACATCAGTAAAGAACTAATTGGAGATGTTCTTTGAATTAAAGAAATTGAGCTTTGTGCCAAGCCACGGTAAGGCCTTAGGCTTCGTTGGCATCGCCTTGAAGGGCGTACCCAGGACAGCGAGAGCTCGAGCGCGGGATGCAACGACTATGCAACAAATCAAGAGGATCAAAGAAAATCACAGAAACACAGCTCCCTGATCTCTTGCTGATCTGTGTCATGCTCTCCAACCAATCCAGTGGTTAATCATGCTCAGAAGACAAAAAACCTGGCCTTGGCCTTCATCATCTCCTTTGACGAAGAGCACTGTGTTGTGAGGCGATCCATCAGTATCCATTGGGTTTGTCAACATGCTCGGGTCTTGAAATCTTTTGGATCCACGGCACATTTGATATATTATCAGGATCCATTCAGAACCATTCAGAACCATGTAGTCAAATGTTACCTTTGAATCTATCCTATTACCAGTTGGTAAAGCCTTTAAAGGCCAAACAAGAAGCTACTAGGAACAAGGGCATCGCTACTAGTAACAAGGGCATTTCTACTAGCAGCAAGAAGCTACTGGTAACAGGTGATACCGTCTTTACCGACTGTCGCAGGTGACGTTTGAAGACGGGTGGAGTTCGGCAGATTTGCTCTAGAGACGTTCGCCTCCCCAACTCTCGCCTCATCCAAAAGCGCTCCCTTTCCCTGCCACACGATCTCGGTCGGAGCCACCAAGTTTAAACTCAAATTTTGGACTTAAGCTATTTCAGCCTTGGCTGTTTCAATGGCTTGGAGAGTTTCTCATCAGTACCCAACTAGACCGCGGTTCGGAAGCAAGAAATCGAGCAAAGGCTCATCAAGCAGGGACAGCTAGCTGCTCAGCTAGCTAGCTTCTCAAGTATGTAGGCCCTGTTTTCAGCTCTGGCGCAGAGTGGAAGATGCTCACTGTGGCTAAGGAAATGCATGTAGCATGTATCCATGTATGTAGAAAGAAGCACACATACTCTATCAGATTTGAATTATATACATATTTGACCGGTCAGGTGATCGATTTGCACCCACCTTGGGTGAGGCCTCCTCATCCGAGAGCCACAAGAGCCAGCCCTGGTGCGTTGAAAGGTGATAAATCTGTTTTAGCTATTTGTCCAAAGTCAAGTCCGTCTGATAGCTGGACTCCAGACATCTGTGCGTGGATGCGAACATCAGAATGCAGCAGTGACACAAAAAATCTTGCTCAAAGCGTCTCGCTCAAGGCACTGCCTTCTTTCCCTTTATTGATGTCTTGACCTTTTTCCGTTTCAGTGAAGCCTTGCATCGAAGTCACGAAAACATAGCCGTGCTCAAATGTGCGTTGCAAGTCATGGGTGCGTCTACTGTGAAATGCGAAACCGCTAGTTTGGTGGCTCCTAAATCTGCACATGTCCCTGGACCCAAATGTAGACTCTAGTAGACGAATTCATAGTAACAAGAAGCTAGTAGTAACAGGTGCCACGCTAGTAGTAACAAGTGCCTTACTAGTAGTAACAAAAAGCTATTAGAATTAAATTCAATTTTAACTTATGCAAAAATAAACTATGTTTGAAGTGTCCACCTTGGGGCATCATGTCCACAGGTGTCGAGAGACCCGGCCTCTTTGACGTCAGGAGCACGGGTGTCCCAGTTCCAATCTTCCTCGTCTTCACTCTCTTCCTCCCACTGTTCCTCTAGCTGCTCATCTTGTTTTGCCTCCTTTGCCTCCTCAGCCTCCTCAGCCTCCTGAGCCTCCTCCCATGTTTTATGTTCTTCCTCTTTCTTCCAGGTCTTTTCATCTGCCCCTTCTTCCCACTGCTCGTCTTCCCTCTCTTCCTCCAATTTCTCCTGTTCTTTCCCCTCCTCTTCCTCGACTTCCCACTTTTCTTCGTCCTTTTCTTCGTTCCAAGACTTGTCAGCTTCTTCTTTCTCCCACACCTCCTCTTCTTTGACCTCCTCCCACTTCTCATCGTCTTTCTCTTCCTTCCAAGTCTGACGATCACTCTCCTTCCACCTTCCATCATCCCGTTCGTCTTGCTCCCACTTCTCATCTTCCCTGTGCCTCGATCCACTTCTCCATTCCCATCGATCGTCCTTCCATTCCTTCCACTCCTTCGAGTCCTTCGAGTCCGTCTCGTTCCAACTCCAGTCCTCCCAGACTTCGCGGTCGCGGTGGTCGCGGTGGTCGCGGTGGTCGCGACCCGAATCGCCTTGAGTCTGAGCGACTTCTTCTCGGTTCCACTTCCAACCCTCTGACCGAGGTGATTTGGGTCTTGACTCCCAGCTCGACGTCTTTCTTTCCCAGGTCTCAGCCTCTTCAGTCTCCCAACTTTGCCACTTCCCATCCCACTGAGATGGGGAATGGGATTGATGGGATTGATGAGATTGATGGGATTGATGGAGAGAAGAATCCCACTGAGACTTTTTCCACTTCTGCTTGGAGTCCGCTTCATCCTCCCACGTCTCGTTCTCACTCCAAGTGTCCCAGCTGTCCCGCTGTGGCCGCTGGCTCTCGTCTCCTTTCCACCTTCGGTCGCTCCAAGAGTCTTGATGCTCCTCCCAGTCCTCTTCAGAATCCTCGAGATGAGACGAAGGCTCGCAAGGGGTACAAGGTATACAGAACAAAGGTACCAGAAATACGAAGAGAAAGTTGCACAAATGTACAACAACAATATTGTGCACTTAGTACTGGTGTTGCTTTCCATTCTGTTTCAGACTATCAGGTCCATAAACCTGTCCCTTCCAGCTCCAAGGTTCTTCCTCTGTCCACTGTTTCACAAAGGCCTGGCAGAAGCAGGCCGAAGCGAGAATGCCGGAAGCGCAAAAAAAGTGGTGCCTGCAGCCAAAACCAAGTGCCTCCTGGCCTTACTACTTGGAGCAAGGACGCTACTAGGGGCTCCTGGCCTTACTACTAGGGACTCCTCACGAAAACAGAAACAAATTTCCCAACTTCGTAAACCACCGTCTCGGACACTATCCTGACCCACCTTGGGCGCTGCTGAAGGATGGCTGGGCTTCCTATCCTGAGGTGGTCAAAGGTGAACAGTTCACAAGCGGCAAATCCAAAAGTGTTTCACGACCCTTCTCGAACTGGAAAGTGACAGTTCGCATCTGTTCCCCACCTCGCCTGGGGTGCAAGCTGAAGGCCAGAGCGCTGCAGGGCCGCCAGCGCCGCCTCCCAGTTTTCCAGCTTTTGTGGTTCGTCATCATGATATTGTTTCTTTAGCCCGCTCCCCCGCCCCTCCCTTCTTAACGAAGTAAGAGAGTAAGCTAGTAGCTACTCAAGCTACTAGTATGGACGCAGCACAGCTCAAGCGCTAATGATTTGGCTCCTAGATTTTTAGGAAAACTTAAGCTTAGCATTGTGTAGTAGTAGTAGTAGTAGTAGTAGTAGTAGTAGTAGTAGTAGTAGT